ATTTAATCATTATGATATCATACAATTACATAATATATATTTGAAATGATAAAAATTGGACTAAATGGGTTGTTCGAGATTGAACCATTTAATAATTTTAAAATACGTTATATTTTAGCCACTAAGATATAAAATAATAGCATAATATATATTAAACTAGAGAAAATAGGTTGTTTTAGAATGTCAACCCCATGATGTTCATTTGTTTTACTTGATGGTCAAATCCCGTATAGGTCAGACCCATTCAACTCTTTTATTTTATGGTTAGCGGTTAGCCCATTAGAATCCATGCATTAATTTATTATTAAATTTTTTCTTTTTAGCAATAAAATGTAGTATTGTTTTTGCCCTTTCATATATATATTTTACCAACACCGAGAAATAAAAGGGTTTAAAGAAAAATATTGACACTCCTGGACCCATTTAAATCTGCATGTGTACGGTAAGTTGGTCCATTCCACAAAGGAAAGAGAAAAAAATTGACACTCCCTATTCTACCTTTCCTACAAACGCTCCTGGAGCAGGGAATTTGAAATGGGGGAAGAGTTTTTCCTCCCTGCAAATATATGTTTTTAATTTAAAAAGATACAACAAATATACTTAGAGTGATTTGTTGTGATCGTTTCTTTTCTTTAAAGTGGTCATACTTCGAATCCAGTACGTGTCTTTTTTATAAATAAACTAGCGTGGGCCCCGGCCAGTTGGCCGGAGGAAGGTGAGTTATGAAATTTGATAATGTAATAAAGTGTATAGATTATTGTTGTGTAGTCTTTTTGGGAAACATGTGATAAAGATAGTGAATTTGAGTAGGAAAGAGATATGAATGATGCAACGAATCAAAAATCAGCTGTTACCTTGCGAAATAATATTGTTTCTGGTAATATGATGAGGTGGAGTAAGTTTGAAAGAACCCGAATTCTAGAAAATTGAATAAAAAATCGTCTATCCCATCGGTTTTCGCGAAATGAGCATCTCACAATCGTTGCTAGCTTTTACTCGGCCTGTTGGCTGATTAATTTGCTTTATAAAACTTTCATCTTGTCGTCATTGTGCTTTCTGGTTTTTGCCAGACAATGATAAAATCTAAAGAAATCAAGAAAGAACAACACGATTTGGGATAGGAACCGCCATTCCTGTATCCCTAGAAAATGGTGGTAAACACGGACTCACCTGCCAAACTGGTTTGGATTGAGATTTTTATCGGGTATCAGGGAACCATGTGATTATAAATTAGACTTGATCAAACAGGCCAAAACATGAAATTCGGTCTGTTTGACCGACCTATGCCAAACTCTAATTATTCTTTACTTTTAAACTTTCTATTTGAAAATAAAAAAATAGTGAAAGAAAAGGGATGACTACAATTCGCCATTTGCACATCACTGATTCGGGAATAAAACCATAGAAATTCGAAAGGAAACTGAAAATGTTTAGGATCATTTTAAGGTTAAAAATAACCAAATATATCTTTCTGTTTAGTTTTTTACTAACAAATACCAAACGATTCCCTATAAAATACACTATAATTTAATCATTATGATATCGGATAATTACATAATATATATTTGAAATGATAAAAGTTGGACTAATTGGGTTGGTTGAGGTTGAACCATTGAATAACTTTAAAATACATTATATTTTAGCCACTATGATATAAAATAATAGCGTAATATATAGTATGCTAGAGAAGATAGCTTGTTTTAGAATGACAAACCCATGATGTTCATTTGTTTTACTTGATGGCCAAATCTCGAGTAGGTCAGCCATTCAACTCTTTTATTTTATGGTTAGCGGTTAGCCCATTAGAATCCATGCATTAGTTTATTGTTAATTTTTTTTAGCAATAAAAAGGGGTATTTTTTTTGCCTTTTCATATATATTTTACCACCACCGAGAAATAAAAGGGCTTAAAGAAAAAATTGACACTCATAGACCCGTTTAAATCCGCATGTGTACGGTAAGTTGGCCTGTTCCACAGAGGAAAGAGAAAAAAAATTGACACTTCCTATTCTACTCTTCCTACAAGCGCTCATGGAGCATGGAATTTGAAATGGGGGAAGGGTTTTTCCTCCCTGCTTTATATGTTTTTAGTTTAAAAAATACAACAAATGTACTTAGTAATTAGTATGATTGGTTATGATTCTTGATTTTATTTAAAATGGTCATGGTTTGAATCACAGTACGTGTCTTTTTAATGAATAAAAAGAAGTAATTGTGAAGACCAAAATGTCCTTCCTACTTTCACTCCCGTTGTATGAAATTTGAAATGGAACAATAGTTTTCCTCTTACTGCTATTATATATTGTGTAATGACTGCAAATGGATAAAGGGTATAATAAAGACAGAAGAAAGAAAAATTAAATTTCAAATTAAATTCGTGATAGAGCCGAATTTTGTAGGATCCCTTTACAAACGGTTTGTATTTTTATTTTCGAAAGAGATTTTTATCCTTTTTTTTTATTTGAAGATCGTGAACAGAGAACGTATGCTTGTGGGGAGGGATATTATATTGCCAGCGACGTCAGCAACATAATCACTACATAACAATCACAATAAATCATAGAAACAATGAACCATAAAAATCACTACTAATCTGTAATACTATTTGCAGAATCACTACTAATTTTATATCTAAAGAACACTACAAGGTCCTGCAAAAATTGTAGATCACTACCAAAATAATTCACAAATAGTAAGAAAAACTACTAGATTTGAACAACACTACTATCACTAACAAAAATAGGGAACACCACTTACAAAATCACTCCAAATAATAGATAAGAAAAACACTACTGCCTGCGTAATCACTACTAATGATAGATAAGAAAAACACTACTAGGTACGACACAACTTATTGAAAAAAGAACCAAAATAATGCCCAAACAATAATATACACTACCACCGTACATCTCAAAACACTGCCACAACTTATAAAAATAGTGAACACCACGTAAATATTTCATTTCCAAAAATTACAAAATCACTATTACAGTAGAGCTAAAAAACGATATTAAGTATGGTGAAACACTACTAGTCTTTGAAAATCACTACTACTCTAAATCTGACCGAACAGTAGGCGAGACATATACTAGATTTGAAATCCTCAAAACCCTTTGAAGGCCTCCAAAACATAACTTCAATTCTCCCATAGTCGAGGCGAGGCTGATGCATGCGATGACAATGCAGGTGAGGGTGGTAGAAGCGAAGGCGCTGTAGGAGAGTCTGATGCAAACGATGACGCAGATGAAGTCAGTGCCGGCGAAGGCGACACATGCAAGGTCGATGTAGAGAACGATGACATAGACGAGGTCGTTACAGACGACGACGACACAGACAAGGTCGTTGCAGACGACGACATCGCAAGGGATGAGGCTGAGGATGCCTACAACGATGAGAGAGGCGAGTGCGGAGACTAGAGAAATTGGCTCTGGATTATCAAATATATATATATATATATATAGAGAGAGGGGGGGGGGAAATTGGTAGAAAGGAAGGAGCAATTATTGGATTTTGCCCTAAAAACCGCACACACTTATTCCAAGGTTGGGATCACATGCATCCTTACCCAAATCCCTTCCATCAAAATCACCTTTAGATTAGCGAAAATATGAACGAATGGAGATGGAAGGGGTTATTATGGTGCTAACCTATTAGATGATTAGCTTCCCATCTCATTCCGTTGTTCAATTTCTCCGGTTTGCCAATCCCCACCTCTCATGCCACTTAAAAACCGAAAGCTATTCCTAAATTTCCTCCTTAGTGATCGAGTCTTCCTCTAAGTTCCTGGAGAAAGCTTGTAGCACTTGACCCTGTTCTCTCCTTAGACCACCAACTATGGTTGGGTGGGAAAAATGGGTGGGAAGGGTGGGGAAAATGGGTTTTTTGAGTTTGGGGGAGAAAATCCATAATGAGTTGGGATGAAAAAGAGGGAAAAGTGGGAGGAGTGTTTTTTGATAAATTTAGTTTAATGTTGATTTTGTCACTTTATTTAAATCATTTGATAAATCTTTCTATATAGTTAGTAATAATTAATTAAGACGAACATTGTGATATAATTTTTTTTCATTTGAACATAATTTTTTCCCGTCATTAATTAAATATGATGTCATCAATGACGATTTCACAATAATGTTTCCGTTGTAAAATATACCCGTTAAAAATATGTTTGTCGTAATTCAATTCTGATCCTTAGATCTAAGAAAAACGATCTATGGTTAAAAAAACCCTAAATAAAAAAAATGTATAAAAGAATAAAACAAAACAGGAAAAAAGCAAAAAATCAGGCCCACATTTCAATCCACCTTTTGTCCGTTTGTGACCCATTTATCCTCCCTCCTTTTCCTTATTTTTGCTCCTTTTCACCCTCCATTGTGATTTGTGAGCCTTCCGCTTCTCTTCCCCCCCCCCCCCCTTCCCCCCTTTTCCCACACCCATGGCCCTGTGAGTGGTCTTATAACTCCACCTGCTGTTGCATTGCCTCCCAGGGCTAAGCCATCCGAATTCAAGTGCACCACCCCCTGCAAGTAAGGATGTCAATAAAAAACATGGACGTGGGTACCCAACCACTTCCAACCTAGTCAACGCGTGGAATCCCCACATTGATTGGTATGGGGTGAGCATGGGTAAAACCCGCAAAATGTCTGATGGGTATGAGGCCGATATGATTTTAGCCTCCGCCACCCCATACCCATGTCCGCCCCCATCAAAAGCATTCCTTCATATATACAAAAAAAAAAAAATACATTGATCAGATTTCACCATATCAATGGTAGTGAGGGTAACTCAAGAAAATAAATAGTGTCAATCCTTACTTAATATTATAGGAATTCAAAACAAAATTAGTGCCACATAGGCACATAGCTAACTCTCAATAATCCACGGTGGACTCTACTAATTCCTCTTTTTTTTTTTTACAAACGTGGGCTCTTTTATTTATAATTAATGATCTTTTTTCTTACACTTAAATATATAATCATTATCTCAACCATCCAAGGGAGACTCTTCTAATTTTTTTTTTTTTTTACAAATGTGGGCTCTTCTTATTGTAATCGGTATTTTTTTTTTCTTACACTTTAAATACATTATTATTATCAATAAAATGTAAATTAAGGAAAGAAAAATGTTTAATTTCCAATGCATTCTCTGGGTTTGCTTCCATCCCTTTTCCCGATAGCTTATTGTTGGGCATGTGACTCGGATCTCACCCCACTGAAGAAGCACCCAGGGATACTCACGCCAAGGTCAAGCGCGCGAGTCACACCGGAGTCAAGCGCACAGGTAAAGACCACCCCCGGAGGCCGCGCTCAAACACTAAACGACGACGCTTTGGACAGGCGCGGACCCTTATCGAGAAGTTGTAGAAGCGGCGCCGCGTCACCCAACGGGTAGTCACCATCATAGTCCTAGGTATAGTCCTGCCTAAGTCAGGAGTAGTCACATCAGGGTCCTAAAAGCATGACCTAAATCCCTGACATGTCAGTAGTCATGTCATTGTACCCACATGTAACCCAACCACTCACCCACCACCATGTAGCCTATAAATATGGCATTTACTTCGGTGGGTGAGGGGATCAGATTTTTCTGACTCTATCTCTAAAACCATCGACTTCTCTCTCTAAGATATTTCTCTCTCAATTCTCTTTGTAATCTCTCAGTTCTTCCATCGATGATTATTCCCTCATTGCTTACTCTCCTTGACCCATTTTCCCGAGTCTCCCTCCTACACCCAGTTAGGCTCAAACAATTGGCGCCCACCGTGGGGCCAAGTAGAGAAGCAAAGAAAACCGACCTATGGCAGAGCATAACTCCAACTCACCTGACGAATCAACCCCCATCAAAGCGATGACCAACCCAAGGGAATTCGCGGAAGCTAGCAATCTCAACGCGGTGCTTCTGGAAGAGGAAGAGCCCGAGCTCACAGCCAAGGAAATGAGACAGCTGATGGCGAAGCAGAACGACGTCATAGCTAACATGCAGAAACAAATGAGCCAGGTCATAGCGCTCATGATGAGCAAAGAGGCCGCGGCAACAACAGGCGCGACACTATCCGCGCCCCAACAAGTCCCAGGAGAAGCGTCGGGGACTGCCCTACCACCGCACCCCGCGCACGAAACGCAACAAGTCGAGCTCACAGTATGCGCGACACCAGTCGCGCCCCAACAAGCCCCAGGAGAAACGTCAGGGACGGTCCCACCACCGCACCCCGCGTACGAAACACAACAAGCTGAGCTGCCAGGAAGGGCGGACCTCAGTTTTCTGGAGCAACACCTGTCTCCGCAATACCGACTCAACCCGCCCAAGAGGGCGCTCCACCAGCCGCTAAGCGCGGAAATCATGGCGGAACACCTGAGCGGAATGCCACCCGCCCTCCCAACATACAACGGGACGACTGATCCCGAAGACCACGTGAGCACCTTCTGCCTGCGGATGCAGCTCCAAACCAACTCCAACGCGGCGCTATGCCGAACCTTCCCATCAACATTCTCTGGGATATTCCTAGACTGGTATAACAGGCTCCCGAACAGGATCATCCGCTCATTTGAGGAGTTCATACTCCTATTCACGACGAAGTTCGCATCCCAAAAAAGAAGGCCCCTCCACCTCAAGGCGCTGGTAGATCTCAGGCAAAAGGACGGGGAAAGCCTACGATCATTTTACGCCAGATGGTTCAGGCTGGCGATGACAGTGCGCGACCTTACCCCCGAAACCGCCGCCCATCACCTTTTGGAAGCCACCACCAACATGGAACTCAAGCGGGCGCTAGCAAAGAGGCCCGTAACTCTATCAACGGAGTTGGAGATGAAGATTGAGAAGGCAATTACGTTGGAAGAAACCTTCGGAGCGGGATCTGTTAGGTGCTTCGAGCCAGCCAAATTGCCACGAGAAGAGCAGGGACGTCGGCAGCTCACGCTGCCGCGAGATCAGATAGCGCAGCTGCACAGCGGGCAAAAGCGCCATCCCCCTCCCCCACAAGAGCAAGCCCAGCGAGGAAGATCGCCAGACAGGCGCGCACCCCACGCTTATACACCGCTCAACGACTCCATGAAAAACGTGTTCCACGTTCTACGCGAGAAGGAATACAAGCTCAATTGGCCCGCGCCTCTGAAGTCCTTGCCCCACATGCGGGACCCAAAAAAGCATTGCGACTTCCATAGAGCAACGGGGCACTGGACGGAAGATTGCCGAGAACTGCACTACGAAATAAAAGGCCTCATACGATGAGGATTGCTGACCGAGTTCACACACGAAAAAGAGGAACAAGTTGGGTGGGCCCAAAACCCACCACCACCCCCACAAGCCGACTACAACGAAGCCGCTGCAGCATATGTAGTGCGAAAAGAAATAGGGGTTGTGACGGTGGAAGGAGATCGCCCGAAAAAGAAAACCAAGCGCGAACGAGCGATCGAATTCGCAGCAGCGGATGTACAAACAGGGGGTCAACTAAGCTTCGATGACACCGAATTACCGCAAGGAATACCGTCTGAAGACCCGCTCATCATCACCGCCCTAGTGGCCGCCTGCAAAATTCACCGCCTACTGATAGACGGAGGTGCCGCGGCAGACATCCTCTTCCAGAGCACTATCGACAAAATGGACATCGACCCGCGCTTAATCAAGCGCGCCCAAGGAACCTGGTCGGCTTCTCTGGAGCGAGGGTTCCAGTAATTGGGGTGGTCACTCTTCCTGTCGTTATCAGTGACCAAGAGCCGCGCGTCTCAAAGTAAGTCGAGTTCACAATAGTCGACTGCAAATCATCCCACAACGGCATCTTGGGCCGACCCTTCCTAGCAAAATTCATGGCCCTTCCTTCCACATGCCACCAAAAGCTTAAGTTCCCCACTAGGATGGGAACAGGAGAGGCGCGCGGGACACCATGGGGAGCCCCGAAGCTAGAAGGAGAGCCCCGGCAAACCAATATTGTCGACACAAGGCCAGAGGAGCCCCGTCCGGAATCAATGGATTCCGATTTCGAGGTCACGCTCGACCCAACCGAGCCGACTAGGAAAATACGCATCTCGACTCACGTCCGCGACGACGCGATTGAGCCGCTGATAGCGCTATTGAAGGAATACAAGGAGCTATTTGCCTGGTGCACAGAAGACATGCCGGGGGTACCAAGGCATGTAGCCCAACATTGCCTCGCAGTCCCGCCCAGCGCGCCTCCGAGGCAACAAGCGCGACATGGCTTTACTGGCGACAAACTGAAGGCCATCGAAGAGGAGGTGGCGCGACTGTTGGCGGCAGGGTTGATCCGCCCGGTCAAATACCCGAAGTGGTTGGCAAATGTGGTCCTGGTAAAAAAATCTTCGGGGGCTTGGCGAATGTGCGTCGACTACACAAAAATCAACAAGGTATGCCCGGGAGACCCTTACCCCTTGTTGCGCATTGACCAACTGATCGACGCCACCGCCGACCACGAGACACTGTCTTTCTTGGACATGTTCTCAGGATACCACCAAATCCCGATGTCGCGCGAGGATGAAGAAAAGACGGCGTTCATGACTCCCTTCGGAAACTTCTGTTTCGTCGGAATGCCGTTCGGACTGAAGAACGCGGGCGCGACATTACCAAAGGATGATCGATTCGGTATTTTTGCAACAGAGGGGGCGGAACATCGAGGCGTATGTGGATGACCTCATCGTCAAGACCAAGGCTGGCAACTCGCATCTGGAGGACCTGCGAGAGATATTCGAGGCGCTCCGCAAACACAGCCTCTGCTTGAACCCACTGAAGTGCGTCTTTGGAGCCGAAGCAGGGAAGTTTTTGGGGTTCATGATAACCAAGCGCGGCATCGAAGTGGACTCAAAACAAATCACGGCGGTCCAACAACTACGGGCACCAAGGAGCGCATTGGAAATCCAATCCCTGAATGGGAAAATAGCAGCTATAGGGAGATTCATCCCAAGGTCAGCCGACAAGTGCGCGCCCTTCTTCAAGACACTCAAAAGCGGCGCAAAGTTTGCATGGACCAAAGAGTGTGAAGCAGCCTTCCAAGAGCTGAAGGCATATCTTGTATCCCCTCCTGTGTTGACAGCTCCCAAGCTTAATGAAAAATTATTCCTTTATCTGGCCGTGTCGATGAGAGCTGTGAGCGCAGTTCTGATATCCAGAAGAAATGATAATACCGAGCAACCTGTGTATTATACTTCACGCACGCTAGTCAGCGCGGAAACAAGATACTCCCCAATAGAGAAAGCGGCCCTGGCATTAGTGAGCGCGTCGCAGAAGTTGCATCCCTATTTCCAAGCGCACCAGGTCACTGTCCTGACCAACCTCCCACTAAAGAAAATCCTAACTTCGATGGAAGTATCAGGGCGCATGGTGAAATGGGCGGTCGAACTCTCAGAGTACGATATCCAATATGTGCCGATACCAGCAATAAAAGCCCAAATCCTAGCAGACTTCATCGCTGAAGGAGTCACCCTCGAAACAACACCAAAGGGGGTATGGGAAGTTTATGTCGATGGAGCGGCAAGTAAACACGGTGCTGGCGCGGGGGTCGTCGTGCGCACACCAACAGGCGTCGTTCACGAGATAGCAATCAGATTCAGAGCGTTGAAGACGAATAACGCGGCCGAGTACGAGGCCATCCTGGCAGGAATGACCGCCGCCCACGAGTAGGTCGCAAGAACAATAAGAGTACTTTCCGACTCCTCGCTGGCAGTCAACCAACTGAACGGAGCCTTTGACGCAAAGGAAGACACCCTAGCGCATTACATGGAGCGTGTCAAGCTGCGAGCAGCCACCTTCGAGGCGGTAACTTATGTGCAAATACCGAGAGAGGAAAACGTGCACGCTGACGCGCTATCCAAGCTAGCGACCGCCACCGACTTCGAGACGACTCGTCTCGTGTCGGTACAGAAGAAAGAGGAGGAAAGTCGTCAAGAAGTGGCGATTAATACCACCCAACTCATGAGCGATGAGGACTGGAGAGCCTCAATTGTGCGGTACCTACAAGAAAGTACGATACCGGAGGACGCTAAAGAGGCATGGACTTTGAGGCAAAAAGCGGCCCGATGTACACTCATTGAAGGAGAACTGTACCGGCGGTCGTTCTCGGGTGTCTACCTAAAGTGCATCGGACAAGTGGAGGCGCGCGACATACATGAAGGGTTGTGCGCAATGCACGCCGGCCCACGCAGCATGGAGCGCACCATTTTGCTGCACGGATACTACTGGCCGCGAATAAAAAAGGACACGAAGAAATACGTGGACCAGTGCCACAAGTGCCAAGTCAACGCGCGCCAGCACCACCTCCCATCCACCGAGCTCCAAGCCAACCTGAGTCCATGGCCTTTCGCGCAATGGGGAGTGGATCTCTTGTGCCCCTTCCCAACAGCAAAAGGGAAGTGCAAATACATTATTGTGGTCGTAGACTACTTCACCAAATGGATCGAAGTTGAAGCACTAACCTCGATAACGGCACAACAGGTGACGCGCTTCCTAAAGAACAACATTTTGTCGCGCTTCGGGGTCCCGAACGCGCTCATCTTTGATCATGGGAAGCAGTTTGACTGCGCAGAAGTGATAGACTTCTGCGACCAAGTGGGAACCATCGCAAGGTTTGCATCGGTAGGTTATCCCCAGGCCAACGACCAAGCGGAATCCGCCAACAAAGCAATCCTGCACGGCCTGCACACCCGCTTGAACGACGCCAAAGGTAATTGGACTGACGAGCTCAACACAGTGCTATGGGCGCACCGCACCACATACAAAGTGGCAACGGTGCAGTAATTCCCATAGAGACAACGGCCCCGACCTATCGAATCACGAAGTACAGCGAAGAAACCAACGATGAAGCGCGTTTGCTGGAGCTGGAATTGTCACAGGAAAGGCGCGAGTCGGCAGCAATCAGGTTGGCAGCAATGAAAGAGCAGGTAGCCAAGTACCACAACGCGAAGCTGGTTCCACATAAGTTGATCCTCGGCGACCAAGTACTGCGACAGAACTTCCGCCCCGACCCCAAGCACGGAAAGCTCGCCTCAGTGTGGGAGGGTCCATACCTAATCCGCGAAGTGGTCGGTGCCAACACCTTCAAACTCAGCGAGTTGGGGGGCAACAAGATACAAAGGACGTGGAACGCGCAAAACTTAAGGAAATATCACCGGGCAACTTAAATATGTATTTTTCATGCTATCGCGCTTTGCCGCAAAGAAATGGAAAGGAGTCAGTTTGCAAGAACAAAAAATTAGCAATAGTCCAACACTATTCGCGCTCACTCAGTTCGCAAGAACAAAAAAAATTAGCAATAGTCCTGCACTATTCGCGCCCATTCAGTTCGCAAGAACAAAAAATTAGCAATAGTCCAGCACTATTCGCGCTCACTCAGTTTGCAAGAACAAAAAATTAGCAATAGTCCAGCACTATTCGCGCTCACTCAGCTTGCAAGAACAAAAAAAAAAACTAGTATTCGCGCCCACTCGATTCAAAGGAACAAACAAATGCCATGAATAAGGACTCTTTGGATTCAATTAAGCGGGAGCAACAAATAGTCGCAACTACACTTGATAAAAAAAAAAAGAAAGAGGAAAACAAGAAAGGCAACAAAGCAACAAACTCAAAGGGGAAACATGTCAGCGCAAAAACACTTAAGCGCTTTAGCCCTCTTTACTCTGCTTACGGCGCAACAAGGGCTGAGCGTCCTCCTCTTCGTCATCATCAGCTTCCTCAGCATCCCTACTTGCGCCCTCAGCCTTCTCCCCTTCCGGGCGCTCCTCCTCTTCCTCATCCTCCTCTTCATCCTCATCCCCTGACTCGGAGTCAGACTCCAAGGGCCGCTTCTCGCCAATCCACGTCTGGACGTGGTGAACCATCTCGCGAGTATCCCAGCGGACTTCCGGGTTCTCCGGCCGAACCTTCTTCCCGACCGCGATCACGGCCTTGGTCATGGCGTCAGCCAAAATCTTCCCGAAAGAGGGAGAAGACTTGAACTGGCGAACGGCCGCGACCTCGGCCGCGCGAACAGCTTCCGCTTTTGCGATGTTGTGAAGGCGGACCAGGTCGTCCTTCTCCTTTTGAAGCTCTTCGCGAGCTTGCTTCAGCTTCTCAGCATAAGAGGCCTCCAGCTGATCGCGGATGGTTGAGCGCTCCTCAGCTCGCACCTGCTCTTTAGCCGCCTCCACGTCGGCGGCCAACTTACTCTGCAGGAGGCCGAGTTCCTCCATCGCCTCGTTGGCTTTGTTCGTGGCCACGTAGGCGCGGTTGTTCGCCCCGACGACCTTCCCCTCCAGCTGGACGATCTTAGCCTCGTCAGCCTGTATCCTGGCGCGCTGCGCTGCGCGCTCCTTCTGAGCCCGGAAGGTCGCCGACAAACCCTACAACCACAGCGCTCAAAGACTTAGCAAAACAGTGCATAA